TGAGACGGAGTCTTGCTCTTGTGGCCCAGGCTGGAGTGCAGCGATGCAGTCTGGGCTCATTGCAACCTCCACCTCCTGTGTTCAAGTGATTTTCCTGCCTTGACCTCCGGCGTAGCTGGGACTATAGACGCCCGCCACCACGCCCGGCTAATTTTGTATCTTTAGTAGAGACGGGGTTTCACCATTTTGGCCAGGCTGGTCTTGAACTCCGAACTTCAGGTGATCTGTCTGCCTCAGCCTCCCAAAGTGCTGGGATTACAGGTGTGAGCCACCGCGCCTGGCCCCTAATACCCACATTTTTATAAGTAAAAATAGGCAGGTGAAATTAATTTTGAGAATATCTTTTATTTATTCCCGCAGATCCAAATATTATTTCAACATGTGTAATCAGTATTTAAAAATTAACGAGGTAGTTTACATTCTCTTTCACATACTAAGCCTTTGGAACCCGCTGTGTGTTTTACATGTCCGGCACATCTCAGTTTGAACTGACCCTGTCTCAGGTAGCTTGGCAGTCTCACGTAGCTGGTGGCTGCTGTACTGAACGATACAGCTCTGCGGTTTGTATGTAGAAGTGGATTTGCTAAGCAGTAGATGGCTGTGCCTATTCTCAGCTTTATTAGTTAAACTGAAAATAGGCCATGCCTATTTTCAGCTTTATTAGTTATTAACAAATTGCTCTCCAAATAATTGTACTAATTTACACTCCCCCAAGTAGTCTGTAAGAGTTTAAATTGGCTGGGCACGGTGGCTCACGTCTGTCATCCCAGCACTTTGGGAGGCTGAGGCGGGCGGATCACCTGAGGTCAGGAGTTCGAGACCAGCCTGGCCAACATGGAGAAACCCTGTCTCTACTAAAAATACAAAACTAGCCGGGTATGGTGGTGGCGCATACCTGTAATCCCAGCTACTCAGGAGGCTAAGGCAAGAGAATCGCTTGAACCCGGGAGGCGGAGGTTGTGGCGAGCTGAGATCCCGTCACTGAACTCCAGCCTGGGCAACAAGAGCAAAACTCCATGTCAAAAAAAACAGCGAGTTTAAATTTCCACATGTGCTTGCCAGCCCTTGCTGTCAATTAGACTTTTAAATTTTGACCCTTCTGATAAGCATAAAATATCTCATGAAGGTTTTAATTTGAATTTTTACCCTTTTGGTCCCTTGAGAGGAAGTGTGTATACACAGCACAGTGAAGGCTTTCCATAAATATTTGGGGAATTGACTTACGGAGCCTCGGTTTCCCCTTTTGCAGAACGGGGCGATGGGATCTGCCCTGCCTCTCAGAGGAAGCAAGGCTGTATGTGGTTGTGACTCAGGAAAAGCTTTGTGTTAGATTCTGAGTGACAGGCAAACGTGTATTGAGGCTGGGGCTTTGACTCCTTGGAGGTAGAGGAGGTGGAAGAGGCGAGGACGGGGCCTTGAGGCCAAGGGACATGGAAAGACAGCACCTTCATTTGTTGTTTTGTTTTGTTTTTGAGACGGAGTCTTACTCTGTCACCCAGGCTTCAGTGCAGTGACGCGATCTCCCCTCCCTCGCTTGCCCGTCGGTGAAGTGGTTACTGTAATGGGTAACACTTAGCCTGATATTTGCTTTCCTGCACCTGACATTTTCCCTCTTAATAGAAGGTGATCTATTTTATTTATTTTTTTATTATTCTCTTTCAGGTTAGAGAGAGCAACAGGGGAGGCAAAAAAAAAAAAAACAAAAAAAAGTGAAAGGCCTCCCAGGTTCAAGTGATTCTCCTACCGCAGCCTCCTGAGTAGCTGGGACTACAGGCGTGCACCACCACGCCTGGCTAATTTTTGTATTTTTAGTAGAGATAGGGTTTCACCATGTTGGCCAGGCTGGTCTGGAACTCCTGACCTCAGGCCTCCCAAAGTGCTGGGATTACAGGCGTGAGCCACCGCACCCGGCCAAGACCGCACCTTTAAATGCCGTGCGCCATGCTCCACATGGGGAGGGAGGCCTGAGCAGGCCACACGTGCCAGCTCTACCCAGCACACACACACCCCTCTCCGCCTGCTCCAGCTAATTCCCGGATGTGAAGGAAGTATGAGACATTAAGGGATTTCAAACCCTGGGAGATCTTGATGGTGCTGAGGAAAGCTGGATGCTGTGAGGAGTTGAATTTCTAGCAGGCCGACAAAGGCGCTAGCCTGGTCTCCCCAACCCCAGACCCCCTCGTGAACCTTATTGGCTGAGCTGGTTTCCATGGAAACTGTCCAGTTCAAAGGGGCACTGTAATATGTTCATCCCTGCGTTTCCCGGAGTTCCCAGCGAGCCCTCTGGAGCTGAGAGGTTTTCAGTGCACGGGAGCTCCAGGTACACTGAAGCTTTCATCCATTCATTAATCCTCTCCCCTCCCACCCTCCTCTCCCTCTGTTCCCTGACTCCTCCCTGCAGGCCAGCCAGCTCGGCGTGTACAAAGCATTTGTGGATAACTATAAAGTCGCTCTGGAGACAGCCGAGAAGTGCAGCCAGTCCAACAACCAGTTCCAGAAGATCTCAGAGGTAGGCAGCTCCCTGCACAGCCTCCCTGACGGACACAGGGTTTTGGAGGCTGCTCAGAGCCCTGCAGCCCTTGGGTCTCCCCTCCCTCGCTTGCCCGTCGGTGAAGTGGTTACTGTAATGGGTAACACTTAGCCTGATATTTGCTTTCCTGCACCTGACATTTTCTCTCTTAATAGAAAATGATCTATTTTATTTATTTTTTTATTATTCTTTTTCAGGTTAGAGAGAGGAACAAGGGAGGCAAAAAAAACCAAAAAAAATCAAGGCAGTGTTCTCCCACACCACACTGTAGTGACCTTGAGCAAGTCACATCCCCCCTCTTGGCTTTTATTTCCTGTGCTGTAGAATGAGGGGTTTAGACTTGGCCAGATAATCCTTTTTTTTTTTTTTTTTTCCTAAGACAGAGTCTTGCTCTGTCACCCAGGCTGGAGTGCAGTGGTGCAATCTCAGTTCACTACAATCTCCACCCCCTGGGTTCAAGTGATTCTCCTGCCTCAACCTCCCAAGTAGCTGGGATTACAGGTGCCCACCACCATGCCCGGCTAATTTTTGTATTTTTAGTAGAGATGAGGTTTTGCCGTGTTGGCCAGGTTGGTCTCAGACTCGGGTGATCTGCCCGTCTCAGCCTCCCGAAGTGCTGACATTACAGGTGTGAGCCACTGAGCCCGGCGTGGCCAGCTAATCCTAACCTTGCTTGATAAGAATCACTGGGGCACTGTTTAAAACACAGATTTTTCAGGCACCTTCCCTGGAGTTTCTGATTCAGAAGGCTTTGGGTGGGGCCCAAGATTCTGTATTTGAACAAGCTTCTGGGTGATTTTTATGATAGTGAATACTTAAGGAAATTCGGACTATAGGTCGTCTTTTAAGGGTGTTGCCAACTCTAGCAAGACTACAATCCCGTAAACACAGAGAGGGCAAGAGTCGCTTATGTGGACAAGTAGCCTTTGAATCCCTGGCCAGGAACACGCGTGCTCCTGCCCCTGCAGCCCAGCCTTCCTCCCGCACTCCCTGTCTAGAAGCACACGTGTTCCTGTAGCCCAGCCTTCCTGGCCCAGAACACGCGTGCTCCTGCCCCTGCAGCCCAGCCTTCCTCCCGCACTCCCTGGCCGGGAACACACGTGCTCCTGCCCCTTCGGCCCAGCCTTCCTGGCCGGGAACACACGTGCTTCTGCCCCTGTGGTCCAGCCTTCCTGGCCGGGAACACGCGTGCTTCTGCTCCTGTGGCCCAGCCTTCCTGGCTGGGAACACGCATGCTTCTGCCCCTTCGGCCCAGCCTTCCTGGCCGGGAACACGCGTGCTTCTGCCCCTGCGGTCCAGCCTTCCTGGCCGGGAACACGCGTGCTTCTGCTCCTGCGGCCCAGCCTTCCTCCTGCACTCCTTTGCAGGGCAGAGGTGCAGTCACATCTGCCATCAACTGGCGTGGAGGGGACGGTTGCTTAGGATCCTTCAGGACAGAGCCCAGTTCATCCCTTTGTCCAGAAAGACCTCAGTGACACCCCTAAAGCACTGGCCTTGCAGGAACAGCCCCCAGTTCAGGAAAAGAGAACCTCCATCCTAGAAAGGGGGAGAGGCTTCTGCAGTTTTGGGAGTCCTGCCTTAAAGGCCCCTCTTGGCCCTTTGTGTCCCCATCTCAACTCTAACGCTAGAAGAGTTGGGGAAATGCAGGATCGTTTTCCTGAAACTTCAGGGGTCACGGGCGATGCCTACGTTTAGAATCCACTGAGAGGCAGCAGAGGAGCTGACAGGTGGAGATGAACATGTCAGCTTCATCACTGTTAAAATGCAGCTTGGAAAGTGTGGATTTGTATCTGTAGCCACAGTGAGCTTGCTGGCAGTTCACCTCTGGAATGAAATTATCTGTTGAGGCCAGGTGCGGTGGCTCACACCTGTAATCCCAGCACTTTGGGAGACCGAGGCAGGTGGATTACCAGAGGTCAGGAGTTTGAGACCAGCCTGGCCAACGTGGCAAAATCCCATCTCTACTAAAAATACAAAAATGAGCCAGGCGTGGTGGCGTACACCTGTAATCCCAGCTACTTGGGAGGCTGAGACAGGAGAATCGCTTGAACCTGAGAGGTGGAGGTTGCAGTGAGCTGAGATCACACCACTGCACTCCAGTCTGGCGACAGCGCAAGACCCTGTCTGAGAAAAAGTATCTATGGAGTCCCTTGCAGGAGTAGGAAACCACAGGCTGCCCCCCGCCCCACAACAATGAGGACAGAGCCCACGCCTCTCACCCAGTGTGCAGAGAGAGGACAGCTGACCAGTTTCTTCTCCCAGACCCATGGAGCAGATGAGTCACCCTCTGCCTGGGAGGACAAAGTGCAGGCTGGGGAAGTCCCACTCCATGGAGTCAAGAGGCTGGAGAGGCCGGGGGCAGTGGCTCACGCCTGTAATCCCAGCACTTTGGGAGGCCAAGGCGGGAGATTGGCTTGAGTCCAGGAGTTCGAGACTGGCCTGGGCAACATGGTGAAACCCCGTCTCTATTAAAAATACAAATGAAAGGGGCTGGAGAAAGGGTGCTTCCTTCGCGGTTTCCAGCCCCACCCGGGAACTACCTGGACTCCTCTGGTCTGTGTTCAGAGCAGCCCTGCCAAGGCTGCCCAGGAACCCAGGGTCAGACACGGTGCAGAGGGTGGGGGGTCTTCTCTTGGCCTGGGCTGATTGCCTGTTCCCTGTGCATAGGCAGAAACCCCCACACCCAACCGTAAGCCCCTCAAAGCCTGCCCACCCCAGAGGGCAGAGCCAGGCCCCTGGCTTTCTGCCAGGTGGCTTCTCATCCTGACTCACTCGATGACGTCCTTGCTTCCTGCTGGCGCTGCCACTTAATTACTGCAATTGGGCTCCTCTCTGCAGCAGGAGTGATTTCACACCCCTGGGCTTCACCGGAGGGGGGCGTGAGGAAAAAGTCCCGAAATCTGGGAATCCAGGCACCAGCCAGAGACACAGCCTAGGGACGCTGAGTAACCCCACCCCCCGCCCCCCAAAATACACACGCACCCAAGCGCAGTCTCTGGGAGTTTTCTCTGTCTGGAAACAGCTTGAGACGAAGTAGGAAGTTCCTGCTGTCTGGGCACTTCCTTCCCTGTAGGCCGAGCAGGTGACATCACCTGAGCCCCTGACCTTGGCCTCACCTTGCCCCCTGCCTTCCCCCCCACACCCCTCTTTGAGGCTCCGTGTGCGCGGTCTGCCAAGTGAGGATGGTATTACAGCTCCGGTTGCAGGCTGCACTGTCCTGCTAGCAGAAGCTGGGGCTGGAACCTCTCTAAAGGAGAATGAAGAGGCTTGGAGCAGACAAGTCATTCCTGGGGTCTGTTTCCAGTACTCACTACCTGTCGCCTGACTTGGGGTCTAGGAGTGGCATTGGCTCTTCCTCCCTCGAAGCTTCCTCTCGGGCCCCCAGCACAGGCAGTGGTGGGTGGGGAGTGTCGGGGGTGCTGGGAGCTGAGTGCTCTCTGACGGGGGCAGGATGCAGCTCACTGTCCTGGGGAGCTCCACGTCTCTGCCGCAGATCCACCGCTTCCCTGCTTCCTCTGCGCAGGCGTGTGGGACCCCTCCTTCCTACCTCACGGGTTGCTGATGCCCGAAAGAGCTGCTGGAGTACCTGGCGCTGGTCAGCTCAAACCCTGTCTGCCCTTGGCTGATGTGTAGGGTTCCTGAGTTGGGGTTCCTGAGATGGGTTTCCTGTAATCACGGGGCTCCCTGCCAGCCCCTCTCATCTCGGGGACCTGGAGTCCCTTCCTTCTTGCCCACACCCCAGCCACTGGACTCCACGAGGCTCCAGGAGTTCACAGGTGCGGTGCGGGGAATTGGGGTTGCAGAGGCAGCCAATGGCCGTGGGGCTCCTTTGTCTCTGTTCTCTTTTTTTTTTTTGAGACGGAATCTCACTCTGTTGCCCAGGCTGGAGTGCAGTGGTGCGATCTCAGCTCACTGCAACCTCCGCCTCCCGGGTTCAAGCGATTCTCCTGCCTCAGCCTCCCG